TGAGGGTGAGGGAGGGGGTTGTTTGTTTATTTGTTTGTTTGTTTTATTTATTCTAGAGTTTTGTTTTTTATACGTTTGTTTTCTACACGAAGGGTCGCAAATTAAAGATTTGGTTGTTGTGTTTTTTGTTCGATTATTTCAGTGTCACAGACAATAGCAGGCGATGTTTGTGACACTGGCTTTGTATGGATGGTCACTGGTGTGCACTCTTGTGCAAGACATAACTATCCCAAGTAAAAATCAACCCCAAGAAATGATGACAATTTTATAGTTATCTTAAGACGATGTCGAAAGGCAACGATGTGTCAGCAAAATTATTCCTAGACTGAAGTGAAAAGGGAGTTATATCAAGTTTGTGAGATGAGTTGTGTGCAAGTTCAAATTAAAATCCATAAACGTAGCCGTGGGTCTACAAAAAGTTCATATCTATATCATCTTTCCCAACCCTCCAGAAAAAGCATCTCAGCCTGATTGAGGTAGACACAAATGAAATTATCATTAGTTCTATTGCAGTAGCAACATATCATTTTAAGAGAAAATCTCTTATTTGTTCTAACTTCCGAAGTTGCTTTTTTTTTATTCTGCGTGTTTCTTCCTTTCTTTTCTTTTCTTTTACTGTTTCCTCATTTTTTTTGCTTCTCTATTTTCAGCACCTGAACTGAAAAAGATAGTTCAAGAAAAAATCCAGCCTGAGGAGCAACAACCACTTCTGTCTTTCTTCAACCAAGCAACTCTGAAGAAAATTCCTCCCTCGTTGAAAATGAACGGCAAAATTACAAATAGAAAAGATTCACCCATTCCACCATCTACTAGTGGAAAGCGTTACCGACGACAAGCAAATACATACTATGTGGATGTGGTTGCAGTTGTTGACTACGCAATTTACAAAAGGTTTTTGGATGACGCGGATAACAGAGAGGAAGCTTTGGAAGACATTCGGGAATATTACGCATTTATGTTTACTGGTGTAAGTTTTTGCTGTTGTTGCTGTGGTTGTTGTTGTTGCTGTTGCTGTTGCTGTTGCTGTTGCTGTTGCTGTTGTTGTTGTTGTTGTTGTTGTTGTTGTTGTTGTAGTTCTTGGTGAAGGTGGTAGTATTTTTTTTGTTAATGTTGTTTGCGGTGGTGGCGGGGATGGTATTTCGTATCGGGTTCTATTGTAAATTTGCTGCAGTCGTAGTTATTGCTGTTATTGTTCTTGGTTGTTGCGGTATTCCAGTTGATGGGCATTGTATTTGCATCATGGTTTGTTGTTGTTGTTGTTGTTGTTGCTGTTGTTGTTGATGTTGCTATGTTCAATGCTGTTTTTGTTTATTTTGATGTTCTTATTGCTGTTGATGTAGTTGTTGCTTTATGGGTTGCCGTTTATTTTGTTGTTGTTTTGTTTTGTTTTGCTGTTGTTGTTGTTGTTTTTTTCTCTGTTTTGGAAGATGGGTTTGAGGAGGCGTGATAAATTATTTTTTTTCTCTTAAAAAAAAAAGGTGGGGAGAATTCACACTTTAGAGGACAGAAAATCCAACTTCATATTCAATCTTCGTCACGCTGTTTTACAAACTTTTGATATGGTCACAACTGCATAATATGCAACAATAAAACAACAGCTGTATACAAAGAATAAAAACTCTTGTTACTCTCTTGTAGCAGCTCTAATCTTCTGGCGCTCATATGACCTTATGCAGTTGTGAGCGCCGAAAAACCCCAACTAAACTAAAACTAAAAATTAAAACAATGGCTGCTTCTTTTCTGCCTGCCTGGGTTGTTTTAGTTTCCGACCAGGTTCCTATGTCTTGCTCCCATCTTCTGTTAGTTCAGTTTTTCAGTTTTTCAGTTTCAGTTTCATAATGTTCTAAAGGAATGATGGCATCTGTGCCTATCCTGTTTTAGTATTTCTTGATTCTTTATTTTCTGTTTCTACTTTTTCTACAACATTGAAAGACTTCGGTAGAGAATAGAAAAAGACGTGTTTTCAAACAGTGACTTTCCTCCTTACCCAGGTGGACCTTCGCTATCAGAGCATCACGTCTATGACTTCCAACATCCGAGTCAGACTCACCAAAGTGGTCGTAACAGAGGTGAGTAAAGGTCTCATCTGTCTGCCTGTCTGTCTCTCTCTCTCTCTATCTCTCTTTCTCTCTCTCTCTCTCCCTCTCTCGCTCTCTCTCTCTCTCTC